AACTTGTCCTAAGAGCTGGAGAAAGCCAGACCAGGCTAATGCTTGTTTCTACCCATTCAACAGCAAAATTAGTCACCTGGACTTTATTAATAAACCGAATATGTTCCAAGAATTCCATGCATATAAGTGCTTATAGATGCCAATCACCAAGATCTATTAAGAACAATTCCTCATTTCAGGAGTCTGAATAGGATACTCTCCAAAACTCCACATTCCAGAGAAATGTTTTTCAGGCCACAGATTTTCTCTAGTCTTGTAGCTGGTAATAAAATCAAGTTGGAATATGGTTTCATGAAGACGTAAGTCATAAAAATCCTTTGAAAAACCTCTCTTTGGAGCATTCAACTCATTCTCGTAGGTCACAGGACAACTAAGCTATGCAGGAATGATGGTTTTCTCTAAGTCATTCATCAAACAATACTTGTTTTAAGCGCTAAGGGAATTACGACTTCAAAGAAAAATCAATTTCCTAGTGTTTAGAGTTTAATGCACATTATTACATGCTCAAGAACAAATCATAAAAAATTGATTTTCTTTTCAATGTTGAGAAGTTGCCAAAAAAGGCATGAGCTACAACGTTCCTAAACAGAACTGAGTATTTTGTACTCCAGCAGCGACAGGAAAAGTCTGTCTTAAGAAGGGCTCATGAAAAGCAAGCAGTATCTGCCCCTGGAATGTTCTCCAGACACCGTGTCATATTTCACTTTGAAATGCATGGGGAGAAATGCCAGATATAGGTGAAGGGGAGGAAGGCAGCACATCACACTGCCACGTGTGTACCTATGCAACTATCTTGCATGTTCTTCACATGTACCCCAAAACCTAAAATGCAATTAAAAAAAAAGAATGCATTGCCATAAACCACTTTTTAAAAGACTAAAACTGCCACCAGGAAGAATAGGCGGGCCACCAAATGTTATATTCAATCTGTTTTATATGAAAAGTATAAAAATAAACGCTTTATCAGTCACCACAGGTCCTTTATTAATTCAATAGAAAAAATAATCGAAGGCACATGCTTTTGGATGCAAAGCACACGCAGAGTCCTCGCCACTGCAAAGGGAGAGAGGGAGGGACTCCTGACCATCCAGGAGGCGGGAACTCACCCCGTGGGCGCGCTCTGCCCTGGGGAAAATCAGCGCGGAGCCGGGTGGGAGAACAAGCGCCCTTCGCACTCACCGGCGGGGCCAGGACCTCCCTGGCCCCTGAAAAAGGCCAACATTTATGGGGCCTTAGTTACTTTTCAAAGAAAATGAGACATGTGTACTCCCCCCCCACCCCCGCCCTGCTTTTTCTTTTTTCTGCTCTGGCCACCCTCAGCGCAGGGTCCCAAGGAGGCGGCCAGATGGGGCCAGAGCGCAGAGGCTCCCTCCCTCCCTCCCTCCTGCTCCCGGTCCATTCACTCTAGAGCAGGCAGAGTCACATGGCTTCTGCGCTGCAGGGTGAGGCCTGCGTGGGAATCTAGCGAAGGTTGGAGGCAAACATTGCAGGAGGAGGTGGGGGAGGCGAGCAGGGAGGCCAGGGGAGGGGAGGGGAGGGGAGGGGAGGGGAGGGGAGAAGCGAGCAGGGAGGCCAGGGAAGGGGAGGGGAGGGGAGGGGAGGGGAGGGGAGGGGAGGAGAGGAGAGGGGACGGGGAGGGGAGAAGGGAGCAGGGAGGCCAGGGGAGGGGCGTGGCGGGGGGGGGGCGACGGAGAGGGGAGAGGAGGGGAGGAGAGGGGAGGGAAGGGGAGGGGAGGCGACCAGAGGGGAGAAGGGAGCAGGGAGGCCAGGGGAGGGGAGACAGGAGTGGGCGAGGGTGCGGGGTGGGGAGCGCCAGGCGTCTGTGGGGACCTGGGCAGCTCCTCCCAGGCCGGTTTCTTCCTTCCGGGCAGGCGCTGGGTCGGGCCTTCTCCTCACCCGGGTCACTGTGGGGACCGTCCCGGGACTGACGCCCTGGGGTGGGATCCCTGCTTCCCGCTCTTGCTTCCTGGGGGGCCACCGCCAGCGCCCCGGGACGGGGACAAGGGACGGGCGAGTCTTCGGGGACTTCCACCGACTGTGTCCACGCCGCGCCTGGGGAGCGGAGGAACAGGCGGGTTCCCGCCCTCTGAGCCCAGGCGAGGCAGCCGTGTCCTCCAGGCCACACCCGCGGGCTCCGAGGCCAGTTGTCACCTGCAGAGACCCTGGGGCCTCCAGGGCGCGTCTTCCAGTGCCGAGGCCGCTGTGACCAAACACTGCAGCCTGGGTGCTTCGTCAGCCGCACAACCCGCTTCCTCCGGGTTCTGCAGGCCGGGAAGAGGTGGCGCCGGTGAGGGCCCGGGCATCCCTCAGCTGCGTCGAGTCCAGCAGAAGGGGCGAGGGAGTCCCCGGCCCTTTGACTGAGGCCAGGACCCATCCATGAAGGAGGTGCCTGTGGACTTAGCCACGACCCCAAGACCTCGCCTGCTAACACTGCCACGTTGGGTGTAAGGTGCCGAGCGGGGAATGTTGGGGCCGAGCTTGTTAGGGGCACCCGGATGCCATGCGCTCAGTTTCCAATGTTCTCACAGACCCACCACCTTCTTACATTAAAACAGAAAAGGAGGCCGGGCGCGGTGGCTCACGCCTGTAATCCCAGCACCTTGGGAGGCCGAGGCGGGTGGATCACGAGGTCAACAGATCGAGACCATCCTGGTCAACATGGTGAAAACCAGTCTCTACTAAAAATACAAAAAATTAGCTGGGCACGGTGGTGCGTGCCTGTAATCCCAGCTACTCGGGAGGCTGAGGCAGGAGAATTGCCTGAACCCAGGAGGCGGAGGTTGCGGTGAGCCGAGATCGCGCCATTGCACTCCAGCCTGGGTAACAAGAGCGAAACTCCGTCTCAAAAAACAAAAAAACAAAAAACATAAAAGGAAACAGGATTCTGGCAAGATGCTTCATATAAAAATCACCACATGCAGATTAAAAAGCTTTGGAGATATTCTAAATCATTAGTATTGGTTGAACTTGCCATTATTAGAGACTAAACAGGTTTTCTGGGTGCTTCTTTGTTTTATTTCTCTACAACAAACTATGGTTTTTATAATAATACAAAAGACCAATCAGTAGGATAAAAAACTTTTTTTTGAATAAAACTTTAGAAATCCACATTTATATTCAAATCAGCAATGATCCCTGCAGTGCGTTGGGTCCTTTTTTGCCCCAAAATAATATGTGCAAGTCCTAACCCCTCACAGCTTGAAGGTGGCCTTATTTGGAAAGAGTCTTTGCAGAAGTAATGAGGTAAGGATCTCCAGATGAGAGCAGCCTGGGGTACAAGGCGGAAAATCAAGGCCTGAGTCTGCGTGTGGACACACACCCCAACCCCTCCGGGGACGAGGCCCCGGCCACTCATCCGCCTTGTCACAGGGCCAGGCACAGTGGGGCTCACCCTGCGTCACAGGCCTTGGTTCGCTGCCAGCTGACAGAATTATTCACATAGCCCATCACATCCTCCCACGGGACACAGGGCATCTGCCTTCATACTACACAGCCTGCGCTCCACAGCCGCTGGGCTTTCATTCCAATCCTAGGTGTGACCCCTGTGTGGCCCTGCCTGGCAGGCCCTGTCTTCCTCCCTGGGGCAGTGAGTAGAGTGACTCACATCTCACCTGGCCAGTGTCAGGTGTCAAGTCTGCAGCCATCGCATGGCCCTAGGGCAGAAATTCCTCCCTCACCAGACCAGGTTATCCAGGTAGGCCCTAGATCCAATGACTGGTGTCCTGCTAAGCAGGAGAGAAGGCAGAGCTACAGAAAGAAGAGGAGAGGCAGGGAGAAGAAGGCAGGGGCGGAGCCTGGAAGGACAAAGGGACACAGCCTCAAGGCGGGGAAACTGTGGCAGGAGCCTCCAGAAGCCCAGGGGGCTTCTCCAGCAGAGCCTCTGCCTCCCTTAGGGACCCTGCCCACACCAGGCTGCAGAGCCTCACCTCCGCAGGGGGACATGCCCTGCCCACACCAGGCTGCAGAGCCTCACCTCCACAGGGGACATGCCCTGCCCACACCAGGCTGCAGAGCCTCACATCCACATGGGACATGCCCTGCCCACACCAGACTGCAGAGCCTCACGTCCGCAGGTGGACATGCCCTGCCCACACCAGGCTGCAGAGCCTCACCTCCACAGGGGACATGCCCTGCCCACACCAGACTGCAGAGCCTCACGTCCGCAGGTGGACATGCCCTGCCCATACCAGACTGCAGAGCCTCACGTCCGCAGGTGGACATGCCCTGCCCATACCAGACTGCAGAGCCTCACGTCCGCAGGTGGACATGCCCTGCCCACACCTTGCTGTCAGACTTCTGGCCTCCAGGTCCCTAAGAAAATGAATTCCTGCTGTTTTAGGCATTCAGGGTGTGGCAGCTTGTGAGAGCAGCTGCTCTCAGAGGCTACAGTACTTTTCAGGCAGGCAGGTGAGAAGTCAGTTCAGACCCTCGTCTCTTCCTGCCCTGACTCCAAGGTGCGCATTCCTAAACCAGGGCTCAGGGTGGTCCTCACATTGCCTCAAATGGCATCTTCAGCTGTGTCCCTGGCAAGTGCATGACAGTTAGATACTCACAGAGCAGACGGTGCTGCCAGCACACCTCCCAGCCTGGGCGGGACTGACTACACTGTGACCGCAGTGTCTCAGGTGCGGCCGAAGGCAGCGGCCCTCTGTGCCAAGTGGCCTGCGCTCCCCTGCTCAGCAGATGCAGTGGAGGTCCACCTGTCAGAGGGCCTTTGCCTTAAAGGAAGATGTAAACCAGCCTTGGCGAGAGCCCTGGGGTCACCTGGTAACTTCTAGTCCCCATTGCTTGACGTTGAGACAAACATTTTCCTCCTTTTCAAAACAGTCACAACTCCAGCTAGCATGAAATTAACGTTACTAAATTAAACTCAGAGCCTTCCCTGTGGACTCTCATCCTAGCGTTTGCCTCGGCCGACAACCTGCTATCCACGCTCCGTTTCAAACCACCCCGTTTCCATCCCGTCCTTCAGCAGACACCGCTCTGAGGCTCAACTCCTCTTTATAGCAGAACTCCTCAAAACAGCCTTCCATACACCAATCCAGTCTCCTCGCCAGCTGACACTGACCGGGTTTTCACCGCCGAAGCGGCTCTGTCCCCACAGCCGTGACCTCCAGGTGCCCCCGCAATGCCAGTCCTCAGTCTCCATCTCTCTTAGACTCCGGGTGTCTGATGGCCCCATGCTCTCTCCTTGGTGAGACATTTCCTAACACCTCACTCTGGACACGATTCCCTTCCCATCCTCCCGGCTCACAGGCCGCCCCTTCTCAGCCTCGTCTTACTGATCCCAGGATGGTGCAGTGCAGGCTCATGGTGGACTCTCCTCTCTGAAGCCACGCCCTCTGGCACTGTGTCTGCTGTGCCCCTCCTGCCTATCTGCAGGACCACTGGGTTGTCTCGACCTAAATGGCTCTGCCCTCGTTCCCCTGGGAGGAGATGAGAAGGGACAACCTCACACAGGGCCAGGACCAGGGCCTGGCAGGGTGGAAGGGAGGAAGAGCCCCTGTGCTGGCAGAGAGGTGGCAGGAGGAGGTGGCAGTGCAGCTCAGGCCTGCTGAGAGAGGGCAGAGAGTGAGCCTGGGGCTGAGCTCACAGGACATCCCTCAAACTGAGGTCAATTCCTCTCTACACATTTGAGAACAACATACAAGCCAGCCCTGTACATTGACATTTCTAGACACTGGTATTTTGTTAAGTGCCTTAATGCAACTCTGAGATAGTAGAGTGAGGCCGCACACACATCTAACAATAATCTACATTGCACTTAACCTAAATCACTGTGGGTAATTAGTATGACTACCAAGTCGCCTGACCTACAGATTCTGCTTGGTTCTACATGAATTGTGCTCAAGCATAATCTAGGACACATTCAAGCAACTAGTTAGTTAAATATTTAATAAATTGTTAAGTAACAAGGACTCTGTTTTCCAAGTATCAAAGGTTGCAGAAATGTAATACTGAATTTTATTTATAACTATGTGATAATCACACTGAAAAATATGATAATTAGATTAATGCAGGAATCAAACTGGAGTGAGGAGAATGATGGGCAGGAACCACCCAGGTGCAGAGCTGGGGTTGAGCGAGGGGAGGGGCCGCACAGCGTTCACAGTACTCACCAGGGATGGTGTCTGCAGGGCAAGGAAAACACACACACACACACACACACACACGAACACATGTGCACACACACCCTATGTATACATGTATACACACCACACACACACATGCATACATCTCCCAACATATGCACATCTCCATACATGAAAAAACATCACATACATACCACACATGTACATCACCATACATGTATACACACCACAGAACACACCCCTGCATGTATACATACCACACACACCCATACATCACACATCCCAGTACATTAAAACACACTACATATACACACCACACCCCCAACATGTACACATACCACATACATACATTATACACACCACACACATCTCCATACATGTATACACACCATATACACAGGCACACACACACACACACACCCCCATATGTGTATAGACACCACACAGTCCTACACACCCACACATGTACACACACACCCCCACATATGCACATTTACAAACACGGAGATACACTTTTTACAAACATATTCCATCATATAAGAAGTCTCATTGCCGAATTTGAACTTTGAAAACCAGATTGTGGAAGGATAGCAAACATGATTCTGAAAACTGCATTTTTCAGGTTGTATTTCATTTCAAACATTTTAAGTGCACTTTATTAAATATAAAGAAGTTCTTTCCTAATAACAGCGAACACAGATTTTAGACGAAAGTGCATGCTTTCCACTTCCAGAGTCTAAAATAAACCCGTCTGCACAGCTGGAATGACACGCGGCGTTTCTGAACCGACCCGGCACAGTGTGGTGCCTCACGTACGCCTGGGGCGGTGGTCAGCGCTGAGCTGAGCGCAGACCAGTGACTAGAGGCGATTCCCCGTCATGCTGCACCCTCTGCCCCTTGAGGGAGCATCTGCAGGAGGGCACGTAATGCCTCCCACCCCAGGAAACCCAGCCCCTCTTCCAGGAAGGAGCGGCGTCACGGCAACACTGACAGGGAAGTCACCCATGACTGATGGACAGAATTCGGTGGGGCCGCACTCAGCACCGCGCTCTCCAGGTTCAGATGAACACCCGCCACAACTCACACACTTTCCACCCTCAAACCCTGTTCCATGACATCAGCCCTGCTCTGCCGGGTTCGTGGTGTCTTTGACACAGGCTGAGATCCTCCCTTCCCTGGCCTCCCTGCTGCCAGATCTTGTCGAGTCACTTAGAGTTACAGAGGCAGGGATGCAATCGGGGAACCCCATCAGTGAAGGAAGAAAGAAGAGAGGGGAGCTTTAGAGTCCAGCTGAAAACAAGAGGACACACCAGCCAGACTCCTCGGAGGAGTGGGCTACTCATCTCACGAAACTGGCCATTTCCTTCAGCAGCCCCTCACCCCCAGTACAGTCTGTGGCGAGGACGAGACCAGTCTGCTGGCCGGCTCAGTGGGCTCAGTGTGGAACACACCCGCCCTGCGTGTGTATGCCGCTGCTTCTGACCTCACACAAAGAACTGATGTTATGTTTCTATCACTTACATGTAGCAACCTGCATTCACTTTTGTGCTCCCAAAGTCTGTTTAAAGTCCGCTGCTTGCAAACTGGGTCATAGTTTCTGATGAAGCCTCTGTTGCTAAGCTAACTCCCAGGCTGAGGATGCCCCTGCTGTGGGCCAAAGAACAGAGCACGTGACCCTGGTGCCTGAGTGTCCCCCTCCACCCCCGGAACCTGCGCTGGAGCCGTCAGCCTCAGCCAGACCTGGGGTTGAGGCTGGGCTGGCTCTCTGGGAGCATCAGGGAACCGGTTGGAGAGAGGCTAACACGTGGGACCCAGGGGCCACCTGGAGGGGGATGACCACAGCTGGGTCTGGGAGCTGCAGCAGAGAGAAGCCGGCACGAGGAGAGAGAAGCCGGCACGAGGAGAGAGAAGCCGGCACGAGGAGAGAGAAGCCGGCACGAGGAGAGAGCCTCAGGTCAGGCATGTTCACAGGTGCGGGCGTGTGGAGCCCTGTGGGTTTATATGGCCCCAGGCCTACTTCATGCTCACCCCCACATTATTTTTAATAAAGGATGTGGAGCAGCTGCCCCACTTGCTAATTATGCCTTATGTCTTTAATCATCATATTTCGACATAACAAAGGTACTGGTGTCACCAGTTTATCAGAGGAAGCAAAATGCCCACTTCCATATCTCAGAAACCAGCAGACCTTCAGCTGTGCTCCCACGAAAGCACGATGCCAGACTTCCTTTGTGAATCCCCTCCAGAAGCAAAACCATGAGTGACCCAAGCCATTTAAGAGGCTGCCATCAGGTGTAAACCTCTGATGTTCTCCAACATCAGAAAGAAATTCTGCATCTCGAACGCAACATTCACGAGACATTCTCATGAGCGGGCACTGCCATTGCTTCATGGTGGAGGTGGGGGCAGGACACCCTGCCCAGCGGCCTGGAGGCTGCTGGCTCCTGCCGCAAACCCAGTTTCATAAAACCACGCCAGAACCATGCCTTATGCTAGCTCTCAGACACATGGACCCACTTGCGGTTTCCAGAACTATAACCAGGTTATTGAATATTCATGGTTTTAATGGGCCTCTCTCTCTTTTTTTTGAGATGAAGCCTTGCTCTGTCGCCAGGCTGGAGTGCAGTGGAACAATCTTGGCTCACTGCAACCTCCACCTCCCAGGTTCAAGTGATTCTCCTGCCTCAGCCTCCCGAGTAGCTGGGACTACAGGCACGTGCCACCACACCAGGCTAATTTTTTTTTTTTTTTCAGACGGAGTTTCGCTCTTGTTACCCAGGCTGGAGTGCAATGGCGCAATCTCGGCTCACCGCAACCTCCGCCTCCTGGGTTCAGGCAATTCTCCTGCCTCAGCCTCCTGAGTAGCTGGGATTACAGGCACGCGCCACCACGCCCAGCTCATTATTTTGTATTTTTAGTAGAGATGGGGTTTCGTCATGTTGGGCGGGCTGGTCTCCAACTCCTGACCTCATGATCCGTCCGCCTTGGCCTCCCAAAGTGCTGGGATTACAGGCATGAGCCACCGCATCTGGCCTAAAGGGTATCTTTAAAAGGATACCTTTTCCATATTGTTTTATTCTTTTTAGGAGTGCAATGAGTTTTATAGAAGCACTAAGCAAATCAGCAAGGTGGGCTTCGGAGGGCGAAGTAACCCCGTCAAGTTCTGTTGCTGATAAGGGCAGGATTCTGCGGGAGGCATGTCTTAGCGGGGGCGCTTCACTGGCGCGCTGTGTTGGATGAGGTCTGCCCGGCTGCCCCACATCGAGGTGAGCACAGGACAGCTCACGTTTATACTTGTGCCGTGCTCCACCGCACACCAGCGCTGTCCTTTTCAATTTGGGGCATTAACAACTGTGTGTTTTTCAGAGAGCTTTACCTCTGAATTCAAAATTAACTTTCATGTGATTTTGGGAAACACCCCAGTTTTTCTCATTGACAGACGGAGCTAACACCTATCTGGTAGGGCTGTAGGAGAATAAGGGGTCGCCACAGCCAGCACACGGGAGAGCTCTGCTGTCGCACGGGGAGCCGCTCGCAACTGTGGCCGCTTCCATGTAAATTACTTAAAAATAAAGGACATTACAAACAGTCTTTGAGCTGGACGGGTCTCATCTCATGTGCTGTGCGCCACAGGTGTCTACAGGCTAACGTGTTTCCAGGAGGCCCAGATACAGAACATTCCCATCACTGCAGAAAGTCCCACTGGCCGGTGCTACAGCCGAGTGTCCGGATGGAGCTGCCAGCAGGTGGGAGCTGTCACTACGTCGTGTGTGCCTACCTACTAAGAGACCGCCTGCTGTCTACCTACTAAGAGACCGCCTGCTGTCTACCTACTAAGAGACCACCTGCTGTCTACCTACTAAGAGATCGTCTGCTGTCTACCTACTAAGAGACCGCCTGCTGTCTACCTACTAAGAGACCGCCTGCTGTCTATCTACTAAGAGATCGCCTGCTGTCTACCTACTAAGAGACCGCCTGCTGTCTACCAAGAGACCGCCTGCTGTCTACCTACTAAGAGACCGCCTGCTGTCTACCTACTAAGAGATCGCCTGCTGTCTACCTACTAAGAGATCGCCTGTTGTCTACCTACTAAGAGACCGCCTGCTGTGTACCTACTAAGAGACCGCCTGCTGTCTACCTACTAAGAGATCGTCTGCTGTCTACCTGCTAAGAGATCGTCTAACGTTCTGCTGTTGAGTTCAAGGGGAGCCTTCTAGAGGTTTGTTGTGTATGTAAAAGTGCTCTAAACTCTGCTGAAGATAAGGTACAATAGAAAGCCTGCCTGCACCCATAGACTCTAAGAATTTTCTAGGCATTGCTCACTACTTCCACGTATCCAAGGGTCAGACTAGATTGGTGAGTGTCTTTACCCCTACTTTTCAGTTCCCTAAGCTTTTAAAACATATTAAACAACTAATTTAAGAATTACACGAGTTCTCAATCTGCTGATGTGACTTACTATAAAATAGAAATTTTACACGTATAGATCTGACAATTGCCAGCACACTGCAGTCAGATGAGAAAGGCAGGTTTCCCGGGGAGCGTGGAGCCCAATGGCTTGACAGCTGTGTCACAGCAAGCCAGGCGTGGGTTTGGATGACTGGAAGGAATTGACTTTTTGAGTGATCTGTCTTCCCTTTATGGTGACGGGTCGGTTTCAGCACGTAATTGTAGAGGAAGTGTGAGGGAGGGAAAAACGGAACATTGGACTTGGAGGTTTGAAGGGTCTGGGCTTCAGTCCCGCCTCTGCTCCTCTCCAAGGGAGGATGGACGGCTACCTGCCCCCTTTGCAATGTGTCCTCAGATGTCACCCAGTCTTGTCGCTACCAGACCTGTGGCAGGACAATGTCTGGAGATGTTCCGTAGACACCCTGGGTGGTTAGGATTCTTTCCTTTAACGAGTCCTCACCGTCAGCAGCCCCTATGTGCACGCACTACTTGGGCCTGAGGATACCTCCGTCAGCAAAAACAAAGTTCACGCTCACTGGACTTAATTTTACCGTGGAGAGAGATGACTGCATAAAGCAGCTGTGAGCTAGTGATGGCTCGAAGTATAACCATCTTTCATTCCTGAGGATGGCATGACCAGAACGGAACTCACTAAAGATGTTAAATACCCTAACCGTCTCCTGCACGTAGGATAAAATGCTGCAGGATTTATGACTCCATAAAGGAATGGCCGTGAGAAAATAACTCCTAGTTGTAAAAAGTCAGTGACACTCCACAGCTGGGCTGTCAGTAGTTTTAAAGGAAAAGTGTTTTTCCCATCAAAGTGAAAGATGCTATTTACATGTTGATGGAAGGGGCTGAATTGCTTCAATGCCTTTGTGTGTATTTGCAAACTAAATGTCTCATTTCTCAGAATGTCATTTTAATAGTATCTGGAGAATGTCATCAAGAAAGAGTTGGGTTTTGATGATAGTTAAATACAGAGCGGATTCTGCAGCGGGCGTGACAATCCCTGAGAGGCGCAGAGCGGGTGCCTCACTGCTCCTGCCTGTACTTGGATTCGACGTGCAGCTTAAATAAAAAGATCAGTGGAATCTGGAACACCAAACAGACCAATCAGTCACTCCCCACTGTAAAATTTAGGTACGATTTTGGCAGCTCTCAGACCTTATTTTTAAGTATGGCATCTTTTTTCTTAAGCTGATTAAATAAGAGAAATCCCGAAACATGGCTAGGCATCTTTGTAGAACCTTTCTGAGCCAGATATTACCAGGGAAAGCCCAGAGGCTCCCTTTTCTTAGTCCACCCACAGATGAAAGCAGGTTTTTAGATATTATTGCTTGTTAGGTTTTGGAATGTTTTAGGAGCTTACCAATTGATTTCACCCATTTTGGGCAGTGTAAAAGTGTGTGAAGATAAACTACAGGTGGTCTTCATTTCTTAAGGTTCTGGGCTTATTGCTTCTAATTAGCAAGCCTTGTGAGTTTCACATGAGAAAAATAAATAATAAGGTTTTTTAGACCTCTCCAAGTTCATTCCCCTGTGAATTGAGACAGTGTTCACGAAACCAAAGTGAAAGAATTCAAATGCTGACAGATAACTCGGGGTACTACAAACCCCACTCCTTTGGGTTGGTGGGAAGTGGGGGAGCAGAGAGCACTGGGGAAGAGTACAGGGTCCCCAGAGACCAGGCCTGTTTCGGAACCTTCATTGACAACCCCCAACTGTGTAACATGAGTGAGCCCCACTGTGGGCCAGCTCGGGGCAGGGGATCCCCCAGATCCTTTGGGTAATCATTCAGGTGAATTCCTAAAGGTCATGGCTCACAGATGCTGGGACCCCAGCTCTCCGCCCTGTGAAGATGGGGTCTGGAGGGGCCGGGCAGAGGGGACCCCTCTGCTAGGTCTTCCTGTTGTGGACAACTTTCTCCTCCTGGGACCTTCTCCCTGCTTAGCTCTCCTGATGGTCTCCCTACCTCTCAGCTACCAGTCACCATCTCCTCAACTTAACAAAAGATGCCACTGGCACTCTTTTACGCAGGACAGTGCTGCTCCGGGCGATGCCCTAGGGAAGCAGGGAGCTTAGTGCTTCCAGGATTCACCGGGAGTGCAGCTACCCTCGGGAGACAGAGTCTCAGCCAGGGCCATCTGCAGAGCCAGACGTCCTCCACACAGCCTGAGACGGTTCCAACCTGTGTTAAATTGCAGCCTCGCCCAGCGGGCATCCTCTCAGAAATTGAGATGCATAAAGAGCCGCCAGCCACCCAGATGGTGGCGTGGATTCATCACAAAGGGTGGCTGTCTCGCAGCAATCGCTCTGTGAGTTGCATTTGGATGTGTCTGCAGAGCCAGGCGTTTTGGAAGGCAGAGCTCTTCTGGGGTAAAGCTGGACTGGGTGGAGCCGGTGTTGGGGGATACCCAGACCCTACCACCGTGATGATCCTGAGTGGGAGAGGTTTGCAGCAGGTGCCCCAGATCAAATATTTTTTAAAAGTACAGTATTTAAAGATTTGTTTATGCTTGTCTCAACACTGGGAAATGGGGAAGGATACCCCCGTCTCTCCCTCTGATGCAAGCCCTCCCTGCAGCTTCTCCTGACAGCCTGAGGGCTCCACAGCCCCAGGGAGCCCGGCTTCCATCCTGCATATCCATCCTGCTCTGAATGTGGTTTCATAATTTTGTTGGTCTCCTGATTAGACTGCGAGCTATTCTGAGGACAGATACAGGGACTTGCTTTTCTTTCGCAATAGCAAGAAGAAGAAAATGACTAACAGCAAACAACACATACCACTTGCTCTGTACAAGGGGCTGTTCTAAGGGCACCACACACGCGGACTCACTTTACATGGTGTTAGCATCCTACCATGTATCGTCTTAAGTGAGCAGAGAGAAAACAACTTGCCCAAGATCCCCTAAGTAGCTGGTGTGAAGCCAAAGTTTTCATTTACAACGTTTATCACAGTGTCCTGTGCGGAGCAGGCATTTAATAAAAAGTATTTATGGTGTGTATGTGTAGGGATGCATGCATGCAGGAATGAACAAACTAACCTTTGAAACATTCCTTTTGGTCCTAAACAGCTAATTTTCACCTGCACTGGTAAAGAGCACAACCGATCCACTCACGAACTAGAAACAGGCTGTCTGCCATTAGAGAAAATTCGGGACAAGGCAAGTTGATAAATATCATGACACCTGCAGGGCTCCGCCACGGCTCTTGGTTCAGAACCTGGGCTGAGGTCCCTCTGTGTTGCCATATGGGCTTGGAGGGCTCTGAGGCACCGCCAAGGAAGGGCAGAGCGGGACCTGGGACTGGGCACACTTTGGCAAACATCACTCGCACTGGCACAAAACTGCCCCTGAGTCTGGGCAGATATAAATGGGCCGTTCCTGGCTCCTTCTCCGCAATGGCAGCCCTCAGAACTGCGTTTACTGGCCGGGCCCATTCCCCTGCTCCTCCCTCTCCTCTTCCTCCCCTTCTTCCTTCCCCCTCTTCCTTTTCCCTCCTCCTCTTCCTTCTCCCTCCCTCTTCTCCACTTCTCTCCCCTCCACTCCATCCTCCCCCACAACCTCTTCCCCTCCTCATCTTTATCAATCCCAACTCATTTCATACAAGGGGAGGTGGAGTGTGTGAAAAACTGGACCTGTAAGCATCTCTCAGGGAAAAATATTGGTAATTTACATTTTTTTCTGTCTTCTTTAGAAATTGCTTATTTATCAACCAATGGGTACCGTGCACAAAGGGGATGGTGAACCGGGTGACGTACACTATTCTGGGCGGGGGGGTGGGTCTCAGCATGTTCTGCCCGGCTAGATGGCAGGGTGTGTGGGCACAGCCAGGGGTGGAGCTGTGCTGCCCAGACCTGGGGTCCCAGCCACGTGTGTCCACCAAACACCTGAGACGTTGCCAGGCCACACTGCACCATGAGTTAAAATATATCTCGGAGTGTGAGGACTTCATGAGAAAAGAATTATAAACCATTTCATGAACAATTTTTATGTGGATTCTGTGCTTACATGACATTTGGGGTTTCTTAGGTTAAAGAAATGACATGACATTAAAATGATTTCACCTGTGTCTTCCTACATGTTCTGTGTCCACTAGAAGATGTACACTTCCATGCGGGCATTGTTTCTGTGTGGCTGTGTGACCTGGGGCTCCAGGCCTGGCTTTGCTCTCTGGCTTCCCCTCCATTTGCTACCGGGCCTTGGGCAGGCCCAACCCAGCTCTGAGTCTCAGTCCCTGGGAGAATGAACACGATCCTTGGAGGGTCCTAAGCATGGAGAGGACTGCTAAAAGCCATGAGTCAGCACGGGGAGATGAGTGCTCTGCAGGTGCCCGCCTGCCCTGGGAGGGGCCCACGGCAGGAGGCAGGAAGAAGGAAGCTTGCACAGGAAGCGCCCGACCCAAGTCCACAGAAGAGAAACCAGCTCTGCTGTCTCTGAGGACAGGGCAGAGACAGCCGGTATGGAGTCCCTTCCCCAGGAGGCATCAGACGTGGAGCAAATGCCAATCCCAGCGCTCTCCTTCTCTAGTCTCTCGAACTGTGCAGCCGCTGCTCAGGTGAATAACACATGTGATAAGCTTAACCGTGCTCCTCCCGAAGCCACACGCTGATGTCCTCACCCTCACTGCCTCGCCACATGACTGTTTGGAGATGGTGCCTTTGAAGAGGTCATGACATGAAGATGAGGTCCCGCTGGAGTAGGGTGGCCCTGATCCAACGTGAGGGTGTCCTTCTAAGTAGAGATGAGGACACAGACACACACACAGGGACGGTCACTGGAGGACGTAAGAGGGGATGCCACCTGCAAGCAGAGGAGAGGCCTCGGAGGGAACCAGCCCTTGGCACCTCGATGTGGGATTTTCGGTCTTCGGGACTGTGGCTGAAGCCACCCAGTCTGTGCTGTTTGTTGTGGCAGCCCCAGAACTGGTGCAACACACAATGCAGACAATGTCTGCGAAGTCCCTGGCTCACAGAGGCACTCATACAGTGCAAGTGCTGGCCTTGATAGGTGGTGTGTGTGTGTGTGTGTGTGTGTGTGTGTGTGTGTGTTTGTGTGTGTGCATGCGGGTTTTGCTTTTTTTTTTTGACACAGGGTTGTACTTTGTTGCCCAAGTTGCAATGCAGTGGTGTGACCATGAGTCACTGTATCCTTGACTCCTCCAGGTTCAGGTGATCCTCCCACCTCAGCCTCCTGAGTAGCTGAGGCTATAGACACACACCACCATGCCTGGCTCATTTTTTGATTTGTTTTGTAGAGACAGGGTCTCACTTTGTTGTCCAGGCTGGTCTCAAACTCCTGGGCTTAAGCGATCCACCTGCTTCAGCCTCCCACAGTGCTGGGATTCCAGGCACGGGCCACCGCACTTGGCCTTGTTTGGTGCTTTTAACACGTAGCGAATCATCCCCAGGAAGCTTAGCTATCACCAGAAAACCCCAAAGACCAAGCCCACAGGTCATCAGATCCACAGCATTCAGAGAACGCTGAGAGGGAGAAGCTGCAAGCAGCCTGGCTAAGGACGCAGGTAGTGTTCTGAGCACTGGCTGATCCTCCAAAGGCAGTCACCCAACCCCCTTGATTCACACTGCCAAAAGGTAACGAGTTCCTCTGGTGGCTAGGGAAGCCAAATGTCTTCTGTCCTAAGGACAGGCAAAGACTGCGGGTGTCCCTCTGTGGGCGGGTCTTGCCTGTCCCCTCCTGGTGCTGAGGCATGTCCCTGGGTTCTCCAGGGCAGCTGGCACCCTTTCCTTCTTGGGTTCTGCTAAGTTCTGTAGCAAGACAGAGAACCAAATACAAGATGGGCACATTGATAAAAAGCTGGTAAAATAGTGAGGCAGGGCCATTTGGAAACCAAATTTCCCTGAAACTTTAAAAGACATAGGGAGTGAAAGGCAGAACAGGGATGTCTTCATTTCTGAGAAGGAGAGCCCTGCGCCGAACCTGTGCCTGCCTGGAGGAAGTCATGCTCATCCACACGAGTGAGTCAGGTGTCAGGAGTGCAGCCTCCTCGCCCCTCTGATACGTGTTACTCCCTGTTCTGACTGTTCTGACCGTCAACTGGCCTGGGAAGGTGCCTCAACCACTGGTCACCTGGGAACTGTGCCCACATGACTGGACGAACACTGCAACTCAGAGAAATTCCACAGTTAACCCTTTAGTTAGTCCCGCTTCCTCTTATATCCTGATGTGGCTTATTCAGGATGAGAGAGCAGCAGATTTCAAGGCCCTGAGTCACTGAGGGCAAAACTTGCAAAGGAGATTGGAAGCTGCTGCAGGCAAGAGACCAGGCCTCGCCACCACGTCCCCAGCAGGCAGCAGCACCCAGAGCCTGCTCAGGAAACCGCTTTTATGTGAAAAAGAAGTTAGGAAGTCGGTATGATTCATTTACTCTTTGAAACATCTGTGAGCCAGTTAAGTGCTGGGGCTGCTCCAGGCTTAGGGATGGAGACAAAAGAGAGAGGAAAGTTCCCTCCTGGATGTTGGAGGGGAATTAGCCGGATGATAAGCAAATCACTATGACCTGCATCAGAGCACTCGGCAGGCTGCAGGCTCTAGGCAGAGGAAAGAGGCGTTGAGTGTGGGTGGGGACGGGTGGAGAAGATGGCAGCAGGGCAGGAGGGAGGGGGCCCTGAGAAGCCTGGGTCAGGCAGAGGGGCGGCTCCACAGAGGGCGTGTGTAGGGTGGACGGGGCAGCCCCCACTGCACCTGCCTTCCCTGCTGGCAGATCAGTCACCAGCCCCTGAAACTGACAGAAGCTTTCCTTGACTTTCTCCTAAGGGGAAAAATAAATGCACCCCAGGATCACACACAGAAATGAACAGGGTGGTAGGTGGCACTTTTTCTTTTGTGGTTCAAGTTTAAACGCTCCACGAAGTCATGCAGCGTCGCAGAGCACATACTTGGAAAGGCACGAAAATGTTTCCCATCAGGTGTAAAGAAAATAAAAGCTCTTCTTAAACTACCTACAGGAACCACAGTTTTAAAATTTCCCATTTTTGAGGTTTTTAAATAATCGGAACTTTAAACATGAGACTTCAGAAAACAAAATCCTGAGTGTGGGCTTTGCTGGGGTTTTAATATTGTCAGAATCTGACTCTGACAACATTGAACGAACGGAAAATACACACGGGTATTTTACAGCGTCAACACCAGGAACGAAACTGAAAGCCACACAGAGTTTTACAGAAACTCGAGGTGCAAATCAGTTATTCTAAGACTTAAAATGCCATCAGTGTTAGCAGCCTGGAGACCTCTGAGCAGAGCTGTTTTTCTACTTCCGTTTTTAGCTGAAACAGTCTTCCTGGTGTGGATACTGTATCCAAGCCATGTTCTTAATAAATTAGTAACTTATTACATTTATGGTTAAATGATAGTGTTAATTATAAAATGACATTACCAGCAATGTAGTTTAAGTATGGGCTGAATAACATGAGTGACCCCCCCTTCAACATTGACTAGAGCCATTTACATATTCATAAAATTGGACTTTCTAAATCATTAGGTAAGAAACCACTGCTTATCACTTTGAGATAATCTGTAAACAGGAACAGTATGTAGTCACCTGTTCGCCTTCCACAGATGAACTGAAAGCAAATCATGGAAAATTACCCACGTGGCTGATACAGAAACTGAGGCCAAGTACAGATCAGAGAAGGTCCCATTTCTTCTAAGTTTATTATTATTATTAAATAAAAATGCACTACGGACCACGGTAAAGAGGTCTGAAGACTGACATTCAATTAGTGCAATTCTGTGCACATTTCTAGAGCATGCTGGGTGTAAGTTGGGGGTCACCCCGACCCTAACGCTAGCCCATCTTCAGCAGCCAGACATTCTAGTGCACCACCATCGCCCGCGAGTTGGAGCGTGCATAATTTTATGTTGAATTAAAGTACCAAAGAAATGGAATAATTTCCCTCGAGGGAAAATTATATATGTTTCAAACATGAAAAATGTTGAAAAATGAAAAGTATTTTTGCATCAGAGCAAAGGAATTTTATCATCTCTTTCCTCTCCGAGAACCTCCTGATACCTTTAGGACAATCACACGGCATGGACCAAGAGCAAGGGCCCCCCATACAAATTCGGGTGGGTTTACAGTTTTGTGCACAATGGCAGGCTTATTCCTCAAAATCGGAAATGATTCTCTGGTCTAGAGAGAAGGGTGGGCAGAAAGACAGATGTCGAGAACCCCTGGGCATCTGTGTCCTTGTCAACATCCTTGGATCATCTGTCCTGAGCATCAGTGGGAAAACGGCCCAGAACCCTGACTGAGGACACTACAGGGGAATCGACGGCAAGGCAGAGAATCCAAATCAGACAAAAGAAGCCAGTGCCTTCAAACAAGACAGACAATGGTGAATGCCGTGCTAGAAATATAAAGAGATGAATTCCTAGTAGCCGGAAGGATTTGAATGATTTTTAATTTGCAGTTTCCTGTTTGATGAACTGTATTTTCCAAATGTTTTGTGGTAAGGGTTAGGAACGGGCTGTGCAGGAGCCGCCGCTGAAAGGGCCAGTCACAGTGAGGATAAAGAAGGGCTGGAGCCAGAGGCTGAGAACCTTGGGCTGTAGTCTGCGCTAAGGACTTCCTGGAAGTTCTGGGGGCAGGAGGGTGATGATCCAACCCTGGCAGCCAAAATACAAGACACACAGGAGCAGGAGGAACCTGGAACCTTGGCTCTCAAGCCTGGAGAGCTTTGAAAAATGCCCACGTCCACATCGGGATCTAAGGTGGGAAAAGACTCTGGCAGATCTGAAAACTCTCTGGGAGATTCCAATGTGCAGTCAGGGCAGAGCATGACCCCAGAGGAAGGACAGCCGGTGAGGAGCCAAGCAGCTGCATGCAGGAGAAAGCAGGTTATGGATTTAGGAGAGGTCCAAGAGAACAGCCTGAGTATTTCCCATCCTTTGTCCAGACCTCTGGGATTCAGAGTGAGTTCTCCCCGAACCAGACCACAGGGAAAAGTCAGAGGCACACTCCATGGTGGGTGAGAAGAAAGGAGTGGGACCTTAGGAGATGAAATTAGGTTTTTGAGCTAAAAGAAAATCTGACGTGTTTCACCGTTCATGAACCGGTATAAATGTTTATGCTCTTTCAAACCAGCCGCTAATTAGACAGAATGCGGTTTGGAAATATCTTTATCTAAAAAAGAAAAATGTTAAAAAATCAAAAGTATTTTTGCGAAAGAGCAAAGGGATTTTTACGATCTCTTTCCTCTCTTAGAACCTCCTGAGCCTTCTAGGACCAATCATACAGCATGGACCGAGAGCACAGCCTGCTTCGTCTGCCTTTCCTCCTTGTTTCCCTCTTTCTCCTTCTCTGTGTCTCTTTTTTCCTCCCTTTCTTTCTCCTTCCTAACTCCTTCCCTTTCTTCATTCCTTCATTTGTTGGCAAGGTCAGGACCTACCTATTGCCACGCAATCTTCCTCAATAAATTAGTAACAATGAATCCTAATAACAAGGACCAGGCTTCTACCCAGCTGTCAGGGAAGAGTGCAGCGGCAAGAGCCATGCCCTTGGCCTCTGACTCACCAAGGGGATGTGTGTTTAATAACAAAACAACACGCACATCTTTAGGATCAGCTCATGTCTTACCGTATTGGTCTTCTCGGAGTTTAACTCTCGCTTGCCTGCGTGGTTTCCCATCCTGAATAGATCAGCCCTTCAGAGGCTAAAAGGGAAAGAGAAAGTGTTAGCCTTAAGTCTAGCATTCTTAGTTTTTTATGTTGTTTTTCAATCAGGAAGACAATCCTGTGAGATATATGATGCCCACTTTTGAGAAGAGGACACCAAAGCTCTGAGAACTGGAGGGACACGCCCAGGTCATCTTATTAACAAATTCTATCTTTTCATCTCATGCCAAGAGCTCGAACACAGAACTGCGCCAACGTCCAGATCCTGTTCAGTAACACACTTCAAGAAATCCTGCAGATGTGTGTACATGTACAGAAATAATCTACCTATCTGTCCATACATACATATGTACACACACAGAGAATTACATCCCACACACGGGTGTACTGTAATGAGCTGAGATGTCAGAAAAGTGCAGACACTCTTCTACAACTAAAAGGTAATAAGAAGATATTTGTGCTTGTTGCTTTTAAAAAAACCATGTGAGCACAGAAAGAGCCAACATCAGACCAAGGATTGCTTAACAGACAAGTGTCCAAAGAATCTGCAGAATTTGTAGGGAAAGTTGGATGAAAAAAGCATGCCACTCCTTATTTTTAGTTTCTAACCCCAAGCTTAGCAGCACATTTATGATTTTTCCCCAAGATATGCAAAGAAGGGAAGCACTGAGCCGCACTGATTCCAAGGAAATTGCTCCTCCCAGCCTGCCTGCGGGACCTGCCCTGGCCTTGGGGCCGATCAGCTGACGGCCACTGGAACCATCAGCCCCAAGCTGGGTGCAGCTGACCAGAGTGTTTAAGGACAATGACATGTTTTCCTTGATGGATGGATCCTCGTGAGAACCCAGGAACAGCTTTCCTTGTGAGGGAACCAGATGAACCATCTCCTGAACTCCCCAAAATACTAGAGATGCCCAAACACAAGGCGAATTGTGCTCCTCAAAGGTTGCTCTTTCGAAAAGAGAATCGCCTGACAGCCAAGCTTTTCCATCTCCCACATTACCGGGTCCCTTTTTGGTGGCTCAGGAAGGACTAGCTGAGGACACTTTTCCGCAGGCAGGCACCCCCAGCAGCCCACAGCCCCTGGAAGGGTTGCTGAGAAGAGAAGCCAACGCGGACAGCACAGTGGCCACTCCGGGCCCCACCCCGTTCACGTGTGTGGGGGTGACTCACGGCCGGCCACCGCAGAGTGAAGACCCACCCACCTTCATCACGTGTAGATGAAAACGGGGGCCTGCCGTAAAGACTTCCCGTGAGGGCCTCATGCAGGGAGGTCGACAACATGCCGGACTTGAAGCAACTCAGGTCAAAGTGCCCACAGATGATGCTCTGGTGAGTCACATGCGGTTCTAGTGATGATATGAACACAGCCGGCTGCATGAACCCCAAGCTTCGTGGCGTGAGACTGAAAAGAGCCATCAGAGTTTGATGCGTGTGATTTGAAAAACGCAAGGCTACCTTTGCGGATGACTTCAGCATCCAGTGCGCTTCTATCTTCTCAATTTATTTAAATTGGACAACCAAAAAAACCTTGCAGAGGCCATCTTCTCATTGGGAAAGGAAGGTTTGTTGCACAAGTGGGGCCCTCCTGGGTAAGAATGGGTTAAGACCAAATTCACTGTGTCCTTCTGGGGTCTAAGCATGGATGAGTGTGTTCCTTGTGAGGGGCTGCTTTGAACCCTGAGTACACGGGGGCTGTCAGTCTGCAGTCTGACGGCTAATTCCACGTGGTGGTGTTGGAACTAAAGAGCTTGCCGGACAGACATATTTGATAGAATAAAATCAAATATCTGTCAACCCATCTTTCTGTTTAAGAAATGAGAAGTGGTCTATTCAAAGCTAAACACAGGTAAAAACAGGTAAGAAACCTCCTTTAGTGAAGGTGGACAATGTCGACCTGCTCAGGCATTTTGCCCATCCAGACACAAAGAACCTCCTCTCACTGGCTGTGATCTCCAAGTGCCTATTCCGGGCCCAGGCATCACCTCACCTCTGCCTCCGGGGAGCCCTCCCCTGCCCAGGCCCCTTCCTGCTCCCTGGCTTCCTCCATTTCTCACCCTCCTCCTCCTACCTCCTCATGCGGGGACTAGGCAAACCCAAACGCAACACTCACTCCCTCCAGAAAACAAAGCTCTAAGGATTTGTCCCAAATCAGAATAGTGTGGGACATGTAAGTATTTGGGGACATGCTGATAGACACAGAGAGCTATTTTTGGACAAAGGGCTCTTGAATGCAGCTGAAATGTACCCACAAGGTGCTGAACTGGTCCTTGGAGAGGGGTCATGTTTCTTCCGAGTCAGTCTGTTGCGATCAAATTTGTCAGACTTCACAGCACACCTCTAGGTTACTCCTGGGATGACTGATCTTAACTCTGATTCACAAAACTCAGGAATACTGGAAACAGAATTGGTGAAGATAACTCAAGTCCAGACTTTTGAATACATCTAGCTGGATTTGACTAGTTAGTTAGACAAGCCTACTTACTTTCATTTGATTGGTCTCTTGGATTAATATAAAAGAAAATGTATTTATATGCATTTTTGAGGATTGGTTAATTCTAGCCTTAAATGCAAAATTCATATACTAGCAGGAAAAGAAAGACAAGAGGAACAAAACAACTTGATATGTGGAAGCCTCAGTGGAAACAGCTTCTGAGCATTGGTAAGCGAGACGTGTCTCACCACACTACAGAGGGAACCACAGAGCGTGTGGCTGAGATCATGAGTGACTGGCAGTCTGCCTTATGAGCTTCCGACACTCTGTCCCAGTCTGCCTTTTAGAGAAGAGCTAGAGAAGAATGAAGATCTCACTATCACAGGGCGAAGAGCTCAGCCCGGCAGCTGGTTTCTGTAATGTGCTGAAAAGATCCATCTGCACACAAAAGCAGCTGCATGCTTGGAGGAAATCTTTTTTATTTCATTTCTGCAACTGATCAAAATTGAAAGAGCCAGAGAAAAATCAGGTAAACAAGTGAAAGGCTGCAAGGAAAGGCAGCTGACTCTGAAGTATCTCTTGGGCAATTAAGGAAGCCTTTTGTAAAATAATAGAAAAGGGCAAGAGAGGGAGGAAGAACTGCCAAAGAGCTAGATGGGAGGGACAGAATTTCAGATTCCACCGTGACCTCCCGGACTTCCAGCCTGGACTTCACTTCCAGATCCAATTCAGCCACTGGGATTACTGGACATTTTGCTAATGTTTATGTGATTATCAGCACTTAGTGTTACCTCGAGGGCTAACACTGGGGATATGCACAGTCAGGCATCCAGATTTACTAGGAAGCAGTCCACTGTTGTTCACTGTTAGCAACAATTTTTTAAATAAAATGCACCTAAAGCAGCTTAAGACTACGTGTCACCTTGACGGCGCCACAGGAGAACTCAGCATAGATAAAACTAGCTAGCTTATCAGTGCAGGGAAAGAGCTCCCAGCTGAAACGCTGGGGATCAAACGCCTTGCTCCTGGGTATTTTGCTGATTTCATTCGCTAGGGAGTTCTGACTTTTTACAGTGCAAGTCAGGCAGGTGAGGCTCACCTGTGTCTCAATACAGTTTCTGTCTGGGTGACTCTGAACAAGATTCTACTCTTCTGAGCCTCAGTTTCCCATAAAGTGGAGGTAATAAAACCTGCGTTTCTGCGCTGGTGTGAGAATGAAGCCCACGTGAGCTGCAGGGCTGGGCAGGGCTGAGGGGAGGGTTGGGGTGTGCTGGAGGGTTGCTTGCTTTCTGCCTTCCTCTTCCCTCCACCAGGTCCCGGGTTCCCTGGGTGAGTGGCGAGCCGCTGCAGAAACATCGCTTCCTATTTACTCCACACACGTTCAGAGATCGCTATATGTCTTCCCACATCTAGATGCATCCACTCCTAACCTGACATGGTCAAAGGAAGATAAAGGGCTAAAAACACCAGGTGCCTTTAGAAGCCTGGGAGTTACATCCTGTAATTGCCCGTCAACAAAGCTCTTCATCCGACACACACAACTAAAGCTGGGCAAATGCAGTGGCTGCTGCTTTAAGACCCCACGAAGTGCCCTGGGGTGCGGGAGGTGAGGAAAGAGGGAAAAGACTGAAGAGCACATTCAGGAAACAGCTACTCCCCAGAGGTCAGAGAAGGGTTCAAATATTAAGATGAGAAACTGGTGATTTTTGAAATAATTTTGAGTGCCATTTTACAAGCAATGAGATTACTGTGAAATCCCTTATTTAAATAAATGTACTTGAGACAGACAAGACCCCAGTGCAAGTCTTCCTAGATACTTGGCACGTGGTTACCCAGATCATCTGACTCCCCCTCCCAAAGCTGAAAATATAAGGAGCAAACACAGTCACTGCTGAGGGTGTAGCTGACAGGCATGCAAGGTCAAATTCATGACGGTGTGGAATTCGTAACATGTTCTCTGCATGTCATTGTGTGTTGAGGCTTATTAGCAAAACATCTGTACAGAGCTGCAGGGAACACCCATGCTGTAGGACACAGATCACACATGTGTTACTTTTAGACTCAGGATTCTTTTGGCGTTGTTTTTATAACATGCTTTTGATTGCATTTTTTTTTGAGTCCATGTTCAAGAAAGGAATCCTAAAGTAAATGTTTCTATGGAGATAATGGGGTTCATTTTGCAAAGATTTGCTTTATCCCTCACGTTTCTATAAAGCTAAGTTGGATCATTACAGGAATAACCCTGTTACAGGTTACATTTGCGAAAGTTTAGAAGCCTGGATCTAGCTGTGAGAACGCCTCTCTCTCGGAATGTATTTTGTTATGAACAGAGTTAGCTGGATGTTGTTCACATTCTGAATATCCCACGTGGAAAGTATGAGAGCAGGTTGAAGACGAGACGTTCCTCAATTATTAATCAACACAATGAAAGAAGCATGTGGCTGCTGAGGGTCTCAGAAGCGGACCCGAGGCAGCGTGATGTGGCGTGGGGACTGCTCAGAAGCACTGCAGAGCTTTTTAGAAACACACATTCTTGGGCTTGGACTCTGCTTTCAGAAGCCCTGCAGGTGATTTGTGTTTTAGAACCTTCTTCATATAGATCAG